GCTGAAGCCAAGGGAAAACTCTTCAGGCACTCCATCAACGGTGCAGAGTATGTCAAGGTACCAGTGGATGAGTTGGAGCGTGCTGTTACAGAAAAAGGCGAAGGCATGCAGCACCGAGCGGATGCTGAGTTGGAGGATGCTAATTGGACGATTTTCGACCCCCATGCTGAAACAGAAGATATGCCTGAGCGCGGGCAAGATTCTCAAGCTCCGCCGCCTTCGCTTCTTGGCTTGGATTTGCCTCAGGGTGTCATTCCTTGTAGAATGGCTGTGCTGTGTGTGTTGAGGTTGAAAGGCTCTGCGGACAAGATCCAATTCCCGGCGGTCAGTCAGAACACGAACCCATATCAGGTTTTGGCAACATTCTTGGTTATCCTGGGGCGAAAGATCGATCTGGCTTGCAATGTGAAGGACATGTGTTGAATAAGTGCTCTGGCATGGCATGATGCATGAGGCTGACCTTGCTAACGGCAAACTGACAGGACAAAATGGTTGAACATGACTCTGTTCCACGTGCTGCAGAGCGATCTCCTTATTTGTGTAAGTGCTGCAAGAATTCTGTGTTGATGTGTTATGGCATGTGTTGAGGCTCATCAAAGGCATCGACCGTCCACTGAACCAGCTCGAACACTTGAATGAGAAGTTGATTGAGCAACAGGTCCAGTCCATGGCCAAGACACCGGAGAAGTGCGGTGCCCATGTATGTGCATTTGTTCAATCAGGGCGCTGGTGTCATGTTCACTGCCTGGCCCTTGTAAAGTTTGCAGGTCTCAACGTGAAGCGCTTCTACGCATGTTCATTGATGTTACTAAGCATGATGTGGAGATGTCCAACTACATCTGGCGCGCCAAGCCACTTGTATAAAGAATCCTTATTGTGCTGCTGAAAGTGGAAAACCCATGCATTTTGATTTTGTGGGTACAGCTGAGGAAGTTCAAGCCACCTGTCAGCGCAGAAGAAAAAGAGCGGAAAGCAGAAGCTGCAAAAGAAAAGAGAAAGAAAAAAGACGAGAAGAAAGATGAGGTGAAGAATGAATCGGGCTCTGAAGACACGAAGCAAAAAAAGCCCAGCCCTGAGCTGATTGCATGATGAACAGGACACATGTGTGGACTTGCTGAGGAAAAAGGCCAAGAAGTGATTTGTGTGTGAGTGCTGCCAAGTGTAACATGCCCTGTGGAGATGCTGTTCAAAAAGATTCAAGCACACAAGATCTTGTTTCTCCGTTGTATATGTGTATGACTTGTTACGGATTGTTGGAACAGGGGCACTGTTGCCTGCCTAAAGGGCAATAGATTTTGATGGTGCTGTGCGTGAGAAACAGATGTTTTCGTTTGCTTTGTGCATGCGCTGCCCAGACCATGTTCTTTGTGCATGCGCTGCCCAGACCATGTTTGCACACGTGGACAGAAACCCTGGCCAGGCATGCTGCAAGATGGTCATGAAAAGGAAGAAGTTTCATTGCTTCACTCTTGGTTGCATGTCTCTTCCTGTCTGAATATACTGTGTGCTGTCATCCTGTTTGAGTATACTGTGCGCTGCTCAGGTCCAGGACAAGAGGCCTGACCACAGTCCCAGCAAGTTGACACCCTGTATTTGCCTGCCGTTTTCTGGAGGATCTAAGCGCAAGAGAATGAGTGCAAGCAATTGCGCCTCGTCTTCCTGCCTGGAATCTGGTAGTGTGGTTTGTGAAGTGGGGATGTCTTGCAAGGTCTTCAACGTCAGAATGAAGAGATGATCGAAACAGAGCTTCTTGAGGGAATGCTTGAAGGGTTTGCTCGTGGAGTCACAGCCCCAGGCAAATCATGTGCACTGTGTGATTGCGCATGCATAGGCGTGTGTATAATCTTGAATCTTGAGGCTGACTCGGCGAGACAAATTGTCTCCCTGACTCGCTTGTTTGATTTGGGTCGCTATGGAGGACGTCAGGATCTGAGCTTCAACCTGTGTTAGTTGGTGGTGTCGTCCTTTAGTGTAGCGGTTGTGTTGTGAGGTTCAAATGAAGTGCTCAGCAAGATTTCCAGCTGGAAAAACCCCGCGCATTGGAGCCGCAACTTGCACCGACTGATACATCGATACCACCTGACCCTCTCAGTGCGGCTTACAGACCTTCAGGTACCAGTTCGCCTGAAAGGAGAATCCGTCATCATGCCTTGGCCAGTGTTGCTTCCCTCGAGCTTCTTGAGGTTCATGCTAGACAAAAGTTCTGGGCATGTTCTTTTGGGTGGACATGCCTTCGATGAGGCTGCATCATGGAAGCGTGGGTTCAGTGAGTTTTGGCAAAGATGCAGCCGCACGCACAAAGACCATGAAGTGTTCACGGATCATAAACATCACTTGGAGACTTGTGTGCCAATACTGCTTCACGGCGATGAGGGCCGTGGCAAGCTCCGTCGACAAGTCATGTGTGTGTCCTGGCAGCCGGTGCTGAAAGTTGCTGGACACAGCTTCAGATCTCGGCAGCTCATTGCAATCTTGCCTGGGGAAAAGTATGCTGGTGACTCCAGCCTGGACATTATACATGATGCTGTGGCTGCTGACCTTTCGATGCTGTACATGCAGGGAATGACAGTCTTTTGGCCAGCAATTTGTCAGTTCTCAATTCACTGATAGACTGTTTGCTATTTCTTCTTTGTATATTTTTCTGAGGTGACCCTGGCCAGTGGGGCACAAGAGAGACTATACCTGGTGCCGTTTGGAATAAAGGGTGATTGGGTATACTTGCGTTGCCTGGACGCACATGATCTGCATGGCATGAAGCTGAGATGGTGCTGAGAGAGCAATGTGGGCTCAGGCAAGGTGCACAAGTTGACCCCAGGCTTTACCTCAGTCAGAAAATGTCACTACTGTGATGGCAGTGTGCCTTGGTGTATTTCAGCCATCAAGACATTGTATGTGGCTGATTGTAGCTTGAAAGAAGGCGATGCGCCCTCAGGACTGGTGGAACATGAAAGCAACAGCATTGTGGCGAAGCCAACGGCCAGGTGCAGATCCTGTCCGCCCAGGAGAGCAGCCTTTGCTTCACCAACTTCCTGGTTGCCACCCCTGCTTTAGCCCCCCTGACCAAATGCATACGTGGCATCATGGGATCGGAAGAGAATTTTGCGCAGGTGGAATAGTATCATGCTTGCACTCATGGTTTCTGTTGGTACGCATGTGCTTTGGACTGTGCCCCGCTGAGAAAGTGTGCTGTTGAGGTTCTACTTGCTTGCAGATGGCACCTGTTTGGTGGGAACAACATTGATGCACGTTTGTCCAATGCTTTTGATTCCTTTGATATATGGCGCCGGGCCATGAAGTTGAATACTTCATTGACAAAGTTTGAGCTTGCCACATTCAAGATGACGTCGCTTCTTGGTGTGCAAACGAGTTGCATGGACCAGCGTATTGCATGTGAATTTGTGTGTGGGTCTTGCCTGTACGTGCAGCTGTCAGGCTCTCAGACTTTCCGAAATGCTCATGGAAAGGCTATGACACCACGGTGGTTTCCAAGTGGCTCCTCCACCTTGTGAGCACAGTGAACCCGGAAGAGCATGTCCCATGACTTATTTGGTCCTTGTTTGTGAAGTTGGTTGTGGTTGTTGAGACTTGGCTTGGCTGCTCTAGCTAAGGGGGTGGACCAAGATATTTGGGCTCTCTTCCATTTCACTCTGCAAAACATCGATGTGTACTTTCGATCCATCCCAAGCCACAAAACATGGCTCAAGAGGGATGTTGCGGAGCAGTCTGTATCAGCATGTCAATCAATGACCGAGACTTGCTTGTCATTTCAGCTTGTGGTGTTGCAGCTCATGTGATGTAAGCCTGCGAGATTGCCCTTTGTGTTTCCAAGGAAGGAATCAGTGCACTGCATGCCTACTGTGATGGTAAATCTTGGAAGCTGTTTGCCAAGCGGCCGAAAGCACACATGCAGCAAGAAATCATGAACCTTCGCAGCACTCTGTGAAGAATGCTACAGCGTTGGTGGTGTCTAGAGTCATGTACATCGCTTTTTATATATCCAAGCACATATAGATATAGATGTTTTAATGGATTTCTTTTAATGCATGGGATGTGTGTTCTGTGCTGCTGGTTGTGGCATAGGACCACATGCAAGCAAACAGAAGAGTCTCGCAGGTGTCATGTGCTTGTTGCCTGTCCTGGTTCAACTCTTAATACAGCAGAGTTACATACAAGAAATGGTTCTGAAAGCCGATGGTTGCGTTCTCTCCATGACCCATCGTGCGAGACATGTGCTTTGTCATGCGCCCAAGGATGTGGATGTGTGATCAGCTGGCTGATCAAGGTGCAGATTGGATACTTTCGCCGGCGTGCCCTTTGACATCACCTGTTAACACCCTGCCCTGCTGGTTTGTGCATGTTGGTCGGTGTGCTGTTCTTACCCTAAGGCTACCAAACATGGATAGATGAAGATTTCATTGGACGAGCCACTTGGAAACAATGACCACGCTGTGCCTCATGTTTGTGTTTGATGCCAACTTCGGTCACTTGCATGGATTGCTTTCTCAGGTCTGCCGAATGAGCAGACGTTGCCATGCTTGGTGTATAGCGCTGAGGACTATTCAGCGGGCACTATGCCACTACAAAAGTGAGTGGAAGAAGAAAGGCTGGCTGAGGTGAAATGGAAAAAAGTGATGGATCGACTCGATGACATTCAGATATTGCTTGACTTTATCGCTTTCACAATCATTCTGCTTCATCCCATGGCTTTCTGAAGCACTTCACATTTTCATCGCGCAACTCGAGCGCCTTTTTTTTCCAAAGTTGAACCGTGCACATTTCTTGGAACATGTACTCAATCGTGCGCATTTATAAGAAACATACCTCGAGCAAATTTTTCTGTACCAAAGGGTGGTGCAGGTAATATAATATTGATTATATTACACATCAATATATAAATCAATGATATGGTCTATATTGTCCAAATACCCCGAAAAAAACAAAAAAAGCACACACAACAACATCCATCCTCCGAATCCCACGTCGAATTTGCTCCGAGTGGCGGGCCCCAAAGAATCTGCTGCTCCCACCAGGGTGCCATGTCGAGGATTGCAAGGTGCTGCGGCTGCTGCTGCTGCGGCAAACCCGAAAACCCACTGGTGTGCTATAACGGCCACGCTGAGTTGAGCCGGATGTGCACATGAGCCACATGAAAACCCAGGTTGGCAGAAGTGATTCGAAAGCTCCACAGGAATTCCATCGAGTTCCTGGGGTGGGTAAGTAGGGGCTATGATCCACACTTATATCCACGGTCTGGCACCCCAACACGACCTCCGCTTTTGGAACTTCTGGTGCAGAGATGTCTCCTTCAACTTTGGGTGTTAGACACACCACTCCCAACACCTTAAGAGAGAGTTCGCTCTTTTGGTCCAACTACAAGACACAAGCATCATTCAAAACGAGACCATAGAGCCGTAGAGCTCCCCAAAATATGGCAGGCTGGGCAAACACATTTCAAGACCAGAAAAGCTCAGAAACAACAACAACAACAACAACAAACACCTCCCGAGACCGGCCCAAGACCCGTCGAATTCCCGGCTCGAAAGGGTCTGACCGGTGCGCGTTTGACTCGAAACCACCGTCCTTGTTCTTGCCAGCATCGATCATGGCCGAACCTGGCGACCGAACGACGCCTCTGGTGACCTAGGTCAGCTTCCAACTCCAGTGGCGAGGTCGAAAACCCCTCTGACGTCAGTGGCTTCTGACCAAAAACACCTTCCTCAAGTCTGTTTGGTGGGCTGAACTGGCGGAAGTGGTTGTGGGTCTGGTGAAGTCCGGTGAAGGACGGAAGGTGGACTCGTGGAGACCGGCCACCATCTGAGCGCAGAGCAATTGGGGGGAATGAAGGGATACCGAGACCGGGCCATGAGAAGACCATGGATCCATGTCTCGGAATAGGGATGTCGCCAGGCCTTCATCATTATTAATATCTATTAATGAGATATCTGCGAGAGACCCTCTATCAACCGTCTGGACCTAGATCGACTTGAAGGCAGCCATTCTCATGTATATACACTTTAAAACAGAAGTTGGCACTTCTTTCTCCTTCGCGAAGCGTCTTCGCGTCGCGAAGCGTCGCGAAGCGTCCCGGGCATCCGGGCTGGTAGTGCCATTGCGCAGAATGTCCATCCCATGGATCCTGCGGCGGAGCGGCGTGCGGCACGACCAAGGGCGTGTGGCCAGAACGGACCTCCAGGATCTCTGTCCTTCCTTTTGGAGACCAAGTTGCCCTTCTCTTTGAGACGAATGAAGAAGGTGGTTTTTCGGTGGGTTTGGCGGGGTCTATCTCATGAGGTGGTTGGGGCCCTGGGGACGAATGTAGTATTGTATCAATGATATATAAATATATAATGATATCTTTCTTCCAGTTGGTCCTTCCAGTTGGTCGTTCCCTAGATTCCATAGTCTCTGTCTCCTAGTCCAATACACTCCCAGGTTACCCTGTGAATGAGAATGGACATTGTGACATTCAGGGTCCAAGGTTTGTTGCACATACCCTGATGTCTGTGGCATGGTCATAATGTTATATGCTAGAGGCTCAAGGACCCTCAAACTGCTACATGTTTGAGCACCCAAACGTCCAGTTGTGAGGGTCAAAACCCCAGTGAACTGAGGGTCCTTTCTGGGGCTTTGGAATGCAAGTATGAAGTCCTTGAAGGATATGAAGTGATAAACTTGTCACTCCAGATCAAGCTTTGGGGAAGTGGGGTGGGGTGTCAAATTCAGCACGTCGGGAGAGTTGGACCGGTTTACACGTTGCGTAACCCGAACGCTCCGCGTGGAACGCAAAAAGCGAACCGCTAATTGAACGCAAATAGTGAACGCACGGTGAACGCAATCTGAATGCAATTGGCAATTGTGGTTGGACTGATCACTACTTATCCACTCCGGAGTGCATTTTTGTCACACCACTGTCCAAAAGATATTGATGATTTCAACATATTCCAAACTGGAGTGAGAATTATCACTCTTCAGGGGTACCAAATGGTACCAGGTATCATTCAAATCACTTGCCTCACACGTCGCTTCGAGCATTTGTGCACAAATTGCATCGAACTCAATCAATCCGTACAGAACCTCGTGAGCATGTACAAACATGTACTAAAGGCTGCAACCAGTATCGAGCGAACTAGTCCACCCAACCGATCGTACCGAAAGCGATCCAAGCAAAGGTTGCGATGTGGTCTTTGTGCACTAAATGTGACCCCCTTTGACCCATTGCTGTGGCAGGCTAACAAGCGCACATGAAACAACGCTGCAAATCCAAAACGGAAGTTGAAATACCATTAGAAAACAATTGCATGACTGATGTCTTTGCAATCAAACCTTGTAAACTTGAAATGTTAAATTCTTGGCTCCACACTCCTTAAATAAGGATGACCCATGACACACGACTGCCTCATGTTGGAGCCAAAATCACTCTTGAGTGAAGAAAAAACTTTCTACTGTGCACCCCTGTTCGCACCTCCGGTGGATGTAAAGGCTTTGAGGTGCCTTGCACGGCCGGTTCCGGCCGACATGTCGGTTCGGTGCGCGCGCCCGAAGTGGAGTTGGGAGTTGGGCCGAGTTTGGTGAAGCGAACAAACTCCATTGGTGGGTTTTGAGTGGGGTGAAAGCAATTCTTGCATCAATGTTCCATTGACTCCCTCGGTTTGGAAAATGGAGGTTAAGATAGGTTAAGCTTTATCCCACATATTTCTTAGCGGAGTGTCCTCAATCTGCAGCAATACCCCCTTGTCTGCATGGGTAGGCAGGTCAAGGAGTTGAGCCATCTCTAATAACATTATAGCCCCTATGGATCCGCTGCCACCCTCTGAGAGGGAATTCGCAGAAAGACGGTGCACTACGTAGGGTTGATATGTTCAAATTAACATTATAGCCCCCATTATGGATCTCTAATATACTACATCCCAGTCTCAGGTGGGAGAAGTCAGAGATAGCCGATAAGCGGATTTTGCCTGTCTTTCCTCCTTATTCCTCCTGCCTGCTGTGGAATGGAATGCTGACTCCATCAGTTAACCCTTTTTCCACCTGTTGGCCCATTGCTTTAGGTAGGGAGACCAATCGCCACCAGAGAGGTGATCTGATCGGAACGTGTGACCCACTGATCTGCTAGGTAGTCGTAGTCCGTAGTCCCTGGCCACAGGACGCCAGCCTCAGGCAGTGCTTTCCGCGAAGTCCTGGGTACCAAGGCTATGGATGAAGGACTTCGCGGCTACTCGGTCGCAGTCTGCGAATCGATCGTTGTCGGTCCGAACAAGTGTTCGCTCGACCAAAACAAGCGTTCCTGCGCCATGGAACCCGGTTCTTGCAAACGAAATGGATCTGACCCGGTTAGATGGTATAGTCATAGATTCCCAGTGATCAAAAATAATGTCAAATCTCAGCTGGATTAATAAATCCCCTCCAGTTAATCCCCAAAAGTTGCCCAAATTAAAAAGGTTGATTTCCCCCCTCATTGCCTAGTTGGGCACCAGAAATCCCCCCAGTTAACCCGAGCCTACACAACCCCAAAAATGTTTAGAGTTGTGTATATTGAGGGATTAACTAGTTCCTCTCATCCCTTGGTTCCTATGACTATGAACTCATAGCTTCCTATATGGACTCTGGCCTCATGCTCATCAGTTCATCCCCTCTCAAACCTTCATGGTCAATGGCCTCATAGCACATTATTCAGGGGGAGTGGACCTCATGAATGGTACCTGAGACTATCTAGACCTTCTAGACCTTCCATGTGGGGGGGGGCGGGTTTATCAATCCGGTCTTCACATTATTGATTATTCGAATTAGTCTGTAGTAAAATAGGGAGACCTCCCACATACCCCCTGGACGAAGGGATACAAACTAAACCATCTAAAACCCATTGGTTGGGGGTCTCCCGACTAAAACACACACCTGCATAGTGAGAACGGAAACTGTGCGCAGCCCAGCAACCCAAACCTAAAGGTTTCATCATATGCTCTACGCGCTTAGTACCTGAAAACCGTGCAACAAGGAGGCTTAGCAATGGGCCCTCCTGCAACCGATCCAACCTCCTCCAAAAATATGGCCGTGGGTTCATTGCACCAAAATACGGACTGGTTGACCTACCTTGAAGGTCGTTGGCTACATGATGTTAGACCTAACAGGCTCATGCCATTATGCCTACATTGGGGTGGTTTGGGGGGTCAATGTAGCATTGTAGGCATATACGGCAGTCCCATGGAGCGTCTGGGGTTTTGATCCATCCCCATCTATGCCCTAAGGCTCCAACTATACCTTCCGTTTGAATGCTTGGGGTGGGTGCTTGGGGAGCTTCTCTATACCTTCTTTTCGATGGCGGACTAGGAGACTGTGCCAAATAAGAACCCTAAGATAAGTTATATATAAGAGACACGTGTAATTTATGTAATCATGTAATCCTCTTTGATTGGGGAAGCCAAGTTGCGGGGAAGAGGTAGAAGCTGGGAAGAAGTAGGAAATCGAGATCAATTTTGATCTGGAAGGGTCCTTCTTTTAAATCCTTCAAAGATGGCCCTCCCAACAAGCTCCCACCTTTCGACTTACAAAATCAGTGACAACTATTTGATTACTACTCCCCACAGGTCCAGTCTGACCCAGCTCCATGGTCCCTGGTCGGCTTGACCTCATGTTCGTTGTGTGTTTGTATGATCAACAGTATACGTAGTTCGTGAGGTCTTAGACCTGGCTCGTACGCTACGGGTACTGGTACGGGTTGGCTGTTTTCTTGTTTGTTTGGCTGGCGGATCTCACCACGGGTCCGGAATCGAAACGATTGGTAAAGAATGTGTTGTTTTTGATGTTGGTCTTTGGCGGCCCAGACACATTGCCATAGCTGTATGAAAAGCATCGGCTTAAAGGCTTTAAACATCGAACGGGTCATTACGAAACATGTTTGATCAATAGCATGCGTACTGCTAACACGCGCCTGATTTGCAGATCTTTTGACTCGACTCGCATCTTTGATCTCAACGGATGTGCCCTTACTTTAGCACATCTTTTTCATCCGCAGCGTCGCGAAACCCGCTGCCAGCGGTCACGTGTGATGGGTCCCGACGTACCGACTGTGCTGCAGTAGGTATCCTTGCAAAAAATCATGGGCTTACCCTCTGACTCATATTCCATGGAAGTGAAACATGGTCCCGTGGAAAACAAACTGACTTTCCTCTGACTCACGCGGGGAAAACCATGGTGTTTCACTTCCATGGAACATGAGCCACAGTGCAGTTCATGGCTTCGGCGAAAACGTGACCTCCAAGTCCACCGGCTGAACGTGACAAGCAATTGGCCACGCCCACGCTACGTGCTGGTCGATACTGAGAGGTCGCCTTCAACGAAACTCCCGTTCAAGAGGTCTCACCGTGCCTTTTGGGCCCCCAAGAGTGCAGAAGATGCATTCTTTTGGTATCAAATGCATGGGTAATGCAGGATTCATTTAGCATCTCAGGAGAGCAAATGCCACAGGTCTCTTCTGTCTCCTCTCTCAAGGGTCCCAGGCAGGTCTAAGATATGGGCATCCCATCGCTGGTCCCTGTCAACAAGAGCTCCAAGACTGGCTGACTCCCTCAGTGTCCCAGGTTCTTCAGTTCGTGACCTTATTGAAGTCCCTGTCTGTGACCATGTCCAGGCCTATATACGTGTCCGCAAAAGGTCACGAACTGAAGAACCTGGTATACAACTGGTCATTATCATAACAGAACTTCGCACCACCAATCCTCCCCAAAAGGTGCAGCTTCTCATCGGCCACTCGGCCACGTTGATCGACCCCTTGGACTCTTCACAAGCAAACCGACCCCTTGGCTCGGCGTCCGACGGCCCATGGATTTCAGGGTCTTTTTTCGCTGAACCCTCGTGGTTTGGTGGGAAGTCTTCGCCCCGTGCCACCACAGCCGAGCTGCATTCGCCACGCCGCTCATGGCATGAAAAGAGTTGAGACGAAACAACACCCAATTCGACCGATCTCTCAACAAGGGTCCCTTGGTCTCGGCCAAACACTACGAGTCGGTCCTGACCGACTAATAGGAAGATGACCTCATGAAAAGCTGGATCAGACTGAAGGTAGAGTGTGCATGTTTCGAGGAACAACATCTGAGCCTATGGATCCACATACCCTCTGAGGTACGGCGATGTGTTCAACATGTTTAATAGGCATGGAGATCAAAGTCCAGGGTCCAGTCGTACTGAACCTGAGAAGGTGGCAGTGGATCCCTTTTACGTTTAACAGTTGTCCAAAAACGCGTTTCGACTTCAACAACTGACAGTACATTGATTCAGTCTCTGCCTTGGAACTTTGACACCAAACAACCTTCAACACTCTGTACACGGCACTTTCACCCACAACCTCGGCGGTAGCTGGAACTGGCTCCTGGCGTCACTGGACCGAGTGACGCATGGGGAGAATGAGGGGAACACCCCACCCCACCCCAGCAGCGCCACGCGTTTCTTATTCCGGTGTTTTGCCTGAAACCGTGTAACAGTTGTTGAATTCATTGGTCCTGGTGCAACATCGTGAAAAACTCTTCGTCTGTCTACACTCAAGGTGGTGAAGCAGTGAAGCATCGTTTTCTGCATCTTCACCAAGATTCTGATGGATTCATGTCGTTCACAGTGCATACGAACTTGGGAGGGTCAAAAAGGTGGGTTTCAGATGGGTTTGAACAGTTCGAAGCACAAAATCAAAAACCGAACGGGTTCTTGATAATTAATGTTCATACCTTGGGTCGCGCTGAATAGTGTCTAAACTAGCGTCAAAGCCACTATTGTTTTGCTCATGCGGCGCTGTGGTTCATTCAAATTGTTTGTTGGGTGTTCATCTTGCACGTGTTTGCACCAATGTTGCTAAGATGGCAGTTTTCAGAAGCTAGACCGGGGAAAAAACATAACCTGAGAAGCTGCAAAACGAAAGCCAGCGCTTCCAATTTTGAGGTGGCCTGAACAATGGTTTTAGGACAGCAAACGCCTGGCCCCAGGCCACCTTGAACTTCGATTGAAAAAACATTCTGTTCACACATAGATAATTCCCATCCACATTCAGATGAAGCAAAAGCCAAAAAATGCACATTGACCTACATTGACCTTGCACCTGGTTGAACATACGATTGGTTGTCATATGATTGGAAGTGCACTCGTTCAAGTAGAAAGTTTTTAGAGCAAAATTCGAGGTGGCCTGGGACCAGAGGCTCGCTGCCCGAAACTATATGTTCAGGCCACCTCAAAAATGAAGATATGCGAAGCAAGGGTCCTGAGGTGTCTCTGTGACAAGGCTTTTGTTAAAACAGACAGTTTTTCAAGCTAAATTCAAGGTGGCCTGAGACCAGGGTTTGCTGCCCTAAAACACTCTGTTCAGGCCACCTTAAAAATGAAGGTCTGCGAAGCGAGAGCAAAGGATGCACATTGTCCTTCTGCTGCTTGAATGTGGCCTTTTGTTTACGTAAAGGTCAAAACCCAGTTGTTTCCACCTCTTCGCTTCCCAGTCTTCCCAGGGTTCATATAGGGAGCCAGGCCATTTTCAGAATCTTCTGCATTTGAGCTGTTCGAGTTCCTATTGAAGGGTATAGTTGGCGAGTGCGTCACCACCCGCTCCAAAAGCATCAAAGCATCACCTCCCAGAGTTTACGTATATCTTTCTCGAGCCACACATGCACAGCAAACCACAGATTTGAAGTCTCATTCGTGCTTTGAACTTGTATTGGTGTGTAAGAGGTATAGCAACATAGCATTTATACGGACCCAGGGTAGCTACAATTCTGTTCCCAGGTATCGCGCGCAGGCTTCAAAGCTGTGGTTTTCAAGCTAAATTCAAGGTGGCCTGAGACCAGGGTTTGCTGCCCTAAAACACTCTGTTCAGGCCACCTGAAAAATGAAGGTCTGCGAAGCGAGAGCAAAGGATGCACATTGTCCTTCTGCTGCTTGAATGTGGCCTTTTGTTTACTTAAAAGTTCAAGACCTCCCAGCTTTTTCCACCTCTTCGCTTCCCAGTCTTCCCAGGGTTCATATAGGGAGCCAGGCCATTTTCAGAATCTTCTGGATTTGAGCTGTCCGAGTTCCTATTGAAGGGTATATGTTCTAGTTGGCGAGTGCTTCACCACCCGCTCCAAAAGCATCAAAGCATCACCTCCCAGAGTTTACGTATATCTTTCTCGAGCCACACATGCACAGCAAACCACAGATTTGAAGTCTCATTCGTGCTTTGAACTTGTATAGGTGTGTAAGGGGTATAGCAACATAGCATTTATACGGACCCAGGGTAGCTACAATTCTGTTCCCAGGTATCGCGCGCATGAGGCTTCAAAGCTGTGGATTGCTGTGCTTCAAAGCTGTGGATTGCTGTGCGTGTGTAGAGGTTATCGAGCGGTTGACGGAAAGGGAACTTGAAGTACTATACCTGGTAGCTACACTATTGCTACCCTAGGTATCTATACCTGGCAAGGTGCCAACTACACCTGTCCATTCAGATGATGCAAATGATGCAAATTGCATTTCTTGCATCACCACCCCTCAAAAATCACCTCCAACACAACCTCAAAAAACCTTCCCTCGATGCACCCTCCTCCCCCAGCATGTGCCGAGTTTACGTGTACCTTTTGCGGGCCACCCCCCCAGACCCCCTAACTACTCACTTCGTTCGCCAAGCACAACTCAGCTGGCGCCTTCTACGAAGGCTGGCTTTCGTAAATAACAGCAACTTGGATTGATCTATGCCGACATCAGCGCTCTGGCCCATCCTTCATGGAACATAAGCTCACTCCCGAGTCGCTTCCCCTGGCAAAAGCCAACCTTTTTGAGTCCTTCGTGTTTGGGGTCACCAATCCACAAAAGCAGGTGACATATTAGGTGTATCCATACCAGGGCCCCCGTTTCGAATGGATACCCCGGAACCTCTAAGGAGCTGTCGTTCAGACACCCCGGATGCGGGGCCCTGGTATGGACTTCCAAGCGACGACGGTCGTCACCACTAACGAAGTCCCGGTCGGTTCACCGGTGTCGCCTGCACCGGAGGTGGGCGAGTCCCAGAGCGCAATGTCCGCAGCCAGGCCTCCATGCCTGGGAAGAGAGGTTGTTTGAGACCTGAGCTGGGACCTTAATTATGCATATATACATATATTGCAGATACGCAATATGGGATAGTATACCTAGATGTTCATTTGTCGAAACATGTTTTTATTGGTCACGCGAATGATTTTTGGGTCGGACTTGTCAACTTCTCTAGGTGGGAAGTGTTGAGTCAGGAGGATCTGGAAACGCAAGGTTCGCTGTTCGACTGCCCTGCAAAGAGCATAAAAACATGGTGACTAAAAGCTTCGGGACCAGTTGCGTGTGTCACAAGACAATCCAACAGGGAGATACAGGGAGATCTCTTCGGGAGACCTCTCCAAAACACCCCTAGAAGAAGGACAATAGACCAAAGCCCATTGGGATTCCAGGTCTCCCTAGGGGTCTCCCTACTCTCATTTCAATTACACACCCAGTTGGTTGTTGGTTGAAGAAAGGGGTCATGATGATGATTCCCGCTGCGCTGCATGGACTGACGACTCAAGTGAGAGAGATGTCATGGGATCCGCCCTGCACGCCCGCAGGGACGGAGAACACATTCAAGGAGAGGCGCTGTTCAGCAAATGTGTTTGTAGACTCTTGATTCATCAAGCCACCAACAAATAGCCCTGAAAAAGGATGTTCCAACTCAATTGGGGGGTGTTATTGATCAAGCATTATGTGTGTTTGTTTAGTTAAATTTAAGTTGTTTTGTTTTTGTCTTGTCTTGTTATTTTGTTTCTTTGTTTGTTTTGTCCAGATGATATGGCCAGCAACCAGAAGCTGTGAACTGACATGACGATGACGTGTCCGTCTGTGTGAAAACAATCAAGGAAAAAGTTCGTATGTCCCCCCTGTAGGTTGACCCTCAAAAACAATGCATGAAAACCCGTGACACTTGTCCATCTGCACCGCTCTACGGCAGAACGAAACGGCAGGTAGGCCAGGCGCTTTCGGGACTTTTCTCGTCTTGGCATGTCTTAATGGTGGGTGTTTCTACATAGGACTTGCACCGCTTGACTGCTTTAAATTTTAATGAAGAAAGAACTGACCTACTACCGGTGCTGGCGGTCCGAACACCGGCCTCACCCGGCCGGCTCCGCCGTTCCCTCGGTGTCGGCCCCCTCCCGTGCTGCCCAGGTGGCGAGGACCGGTGACCCCCCCGACACCCGCGGCGACGCACCTGGCGTGGGGAGGGAGGTCCGAGACGAGTGGCGCTTCGCGTCGCCAAGCAACGCGCGGGTCGTGTTCGATCCGAGATCGTGTGGCCAGAAACAGATGGTGTCGATGAACGGTCAACAAGAACAAGGCCTTCATTTGTTGGGCGTTTGAGAACTATATGTTAGCTATATATATACCACGGCCCAGGGAAAATAGGGGTGTCCAATAAACAGCGCATACACTGGGGTGCCGAAAGTTGCGCTTCTTAACTTCTAAAACATCACAAACCCTTTCCCCTTATTAGAATCCTACGGCAACATGTCGACACCTAAGTTGTGGTCAGATTTCCACACCTGAAAACATAAGTATTATACATTTAAACGGGTGTGGAAATCTGACCGTGCTGTACCTGCCACGCAAAATGGACGTGCTAATCCGATCCGCTGTAGACCGCAAGTGTCATGTTGGAACAAGGTAAGAAGCATAAACTTTAGGGTTCTTGAAGTATGTGTTCCGATGGAGAAAAAAAAAACGGAACATTTCTCAAGTGTAGCACCTCTATTAAAGACAACCCATTGGTGGGCCTGGTGACGATGACTTTGGTGGCAGTTGTTCCATGCAAAAGTCATCGTTCTTCACTGGACCTTTGCTGAAACAAAACATGTTGTTTTATTTTCAGAAAGAACATCAACTATATAATTAACTATTATAACCAAATGGGTTCTGCTCAGCACGGGTGTAGCTTGTCTATTCAACAAAGTTTGACGACCAACAAGCAAATCAAGTTGTTCCTCGCGTGTCACACCCAACTGGGTGAGGGATACCAAAAAGGACCGGCATGAGAACAATATGAACACATATCCCAAACCATCCATGGGACTGGAATAGTTACCTACATTGGGGTCACTTGAAAATGGAATTTTGATATAACTCAGCCCCATTTGTCTGGTCTGGGTATGGACACCTTTACAGTGTCATTTCCCAACAAATGGAGGTCTGTCTGCCGTGCACGGTCGACTCATAGGGTACATACTGTAAGAATTCGACTTCGGCTGGGATGGGTTCTGTGAGCCTCCTCGGGATTTGGGGTCCTTGATCGTATGTTGATCTTCACTAAGCTTCCTTCAACCCCTACGGTCGTAAGAATCCAGGGCCCGAAATTCTTACAGGAAGGGCCAAATGCGGATCCAGACCGAATCTTTAGTATTCTTCAACCCCTACAAGATCTATAGGGTCGAATCCGAAACCCGAATGGGGACCGGGCTGATCGACCGGGCCTGAAGAGGCCCTGATCCGATCCGTCCGACCCTTAGAGCTGCCAACGAGGCACCCAGCAACGAAAGGCCCAGCAATGAAACCGCCACAGGCCATTCGCAGCCATTCCGGGCCACGGAAAGCTCAGAGTACAGGCGGTGGGCCGGCTCTTACACCCATCGGATGGATTGCGTTGATAAAGGTCATTCATCTTATCCTACCTGCATGTCAAGTGGTGTAGGTGAAACTTGTGTGTGATTCTGATTTTATCCCGTTACCAGTAACAGTTGGTGATCCAGGTTAGTAGAGGCCCTTCTCCAAAAAGTCACAATCTTCTACCAACTGTCACTTGTGGTGGGAGACACCCTCTGTGTGACTATGTCACTGAACAAAGTTTTACCGGTTTCAAACACACCCCCTTGTGACTTTTCGGCGGTTTCACACCACCTTCTATGCGTAATGTGGCAATGCGTGTCTTTCAATCAACAAGTACCGAGGTAGAGTTGCAGTTTTAATCCCTATGGATCCACATACCCTCTGAGAAGGAAAAACACAGTGATCATGAATGGATGCTAAACACATAAGAAAGAACTGTGATCATCAATGGATGTCACTGGTCAAAGAAACTCCCCACGCTTGGCTTTTGAGAAGTTCACTGACGAACGCAAAACACCTGCTCCGGGTGCTTTTTGCGGTGTGCAGGGGGAAGCCATCAGTTCGACACCCTGGTAAAAGATGGTAAATGGATGTAAAAGGATACACATTGACTCAACACCTTAATTAGTCATTTGGAGCGTCAGATTTGTTCACCCATATTTAGAGCGTATGTTCCCCACTGAAGTCCTCCAGCTTCCAATGCTTCTGAACCAGTTGGTTATCCAACGGACCTTGTGCGGGTCACCGACCACCGCGACCGACCGCGTCACGCGTCACGCGTCAGGCGTTGTTCAAGCCCAGACACCAAGAGCACGGCCAGTAGGGTGGGTAGCACCGAGATCTACAGGGCGTAGCACCGCGGGGTGGGAACCACACCAGGCCATTCGGTGTTTTTCATTACTGCTGAGGTGGAGGAAAAACGCACCAGTACGCCGAATTGATGCTGCAGGGTCGGTTTTGATCAATCTCACCTCTCTTGGATACGAAGGATTCGTAGTCATAAGCTTATCCCCACAAGAAGTCGGGACGTAGGAAATATCACTGCAAATGATGGATATACGATCTAAGCGTTTGCAAAGAGTTGTAGCCTGGGCGGGTGAGTGGGAACCCCATTGATATTTAATATTAATATACAGTGTACAGTGACAAATGATACCAGTTGTTTGTTAGATTGTTTATACCCAACAAATATGCATAAAACACTGCAAATACCAATCAAAACCAAAAGAGGTAGACATTTGGGAGGGGGGTACCATATATTATATATATAAATATATATATATATATTGTTATATCCTACAAGTCCAGTCTGACCCCGTACGTGTTCTGTTACTCCTTGAGTAATGTGTTTCTACCACCAACTCCCAAATGAGGTCAAACTGACTGGTAGGGTGTTGGCGGAGCCCCCCCTGTTTGGGGGTTCGTCGAATCTCACTCAATCACGGAATCCAGCAGGTGTTTGGGGACTCTGCGTTGGGTCCAAAGCAGTAACTAGTGGATGATGGTTCAGTTGCAGGCCTTGTCCCAAAAAATAGCGATCATTGCTTACGGACCTGTTACAGGTCAGTTCGGACCCCAAACTATGTCCAGTCCCAAAACGGATGGTCTGCCGGGGCGGGCAGGACTCTTCCCCTCTTCCCCTGCTCCGTCCCGAGCATCGTTCCCGCCTCCTCAGCCGCGCCGCGGAGTTCCAAGGCCTCTGCCACTGGCCCCGGCTGGCTCGCGCGAGCTGCGGTGCCTGCGGTGCCTGCGGTGTTCCCGCTGGGCCCACACAGCAAGCCAATCCTCAGCGCAAGGTCCCTGTGTCTCTGCTGTCGAAACCCCTGTGTCTTTTTGTACGCACATGGAACCTGGAACCTGGCGTGGAGCAAGGAAGACTGATGCTTTTCTCTCTACAACCGGATGTTTTTTTGGTTGTGTGTTTTCAGGTTCCATGTGACCTTTTTGGCGACAGAATGATTAATATAATGATACCAGCAAGCCTGACAATGAGTTACACATACCCCAAGGTCCGTATTTAGGTCTGTAGTGCAAACAAACGCCTATGACCTATACAACCGGTTTTCATATTCACCGCAAGTGTCGAACAAACAGGTTGAGTAAATTGGGAACCACGGAAGTTCAAGCTGCGCGTTCTTGGAGCATTAGCAGCACCGTATACCTAGAACCTTGAGTCACCCCCTGTTGTGATGCCCAAACCATGGTCTTTTCATGTCTTTTCCGATCACCAAGGTCATGTCACAATGTCTAGGTTCAAGGCATCCACAGCATTCAAAACACCGCACTGAAGATGACAGGGAGCTTGGGGATGGCATTACACAAGCCTAGGGACTTGTTTTCAAGCGTATTTGCCTCAAACGTGGACCGTGGAACTATTGAATTTCCCTCAAAATCACATGAACCCTAGGGATCCAAGTACCTTCTCAGGTACGGTGATTGGAGGCACTGTTATGTAGCTTTGGAGGGTCCAGTCGTACCTTCTGAGGTTCGGTACGACTGGATCCCTAGGGGAACACAAGGACCACTAAAGAACGGCCGTGTTCTTTTTGGTCAAGCATGCTTACACACTGGACATTTGCTTACACACTGTGTCCGCATTTAACAGTTGCTCCCCCCCACACCAACAGTTGCTCCTCCTTCGTCAACACGTAGGACCACGTAGGACTGAAAGAAATCACCAACCTGCGCCTACCCAAACCACTCACCGGTTTGGTCATTTGTCCATACCGTTGCTGGTGAAAAACAACAGGTCGGCAGTTCAATTGTGGCCAAAGCGCAAGAGGAGCAGCGTGCCCAGCAAAAGCCACGGAAAGTTCTGGCAGCCCGGTGGCCTTGCGTGTCGGCCGCAAAAAGCCGACCACGGCACGAGGAGGAACCGCTGTCAATCTAACATGAACTGAGTCTGGTGGCTTTATATTTGGTAGCTTCATATGGGGGAAACATCAGAAACAAACGCTGCTGTGGCCTGTGTTTTTTTCTAAGGCTTTTGTGGGTTGTAAAGTTATAAGATTATCATAGATTATCATGTCTGCAAACTGTCCTTGAATGGTTTTCGTGGCTCTGCTTCTCACATCCTCCGAAGGTATCTAGATCGGCCACCGCCCTGTGCCCTGTTGGGATCCAGGGATCCACCGTATTCCACCGTACCGGTTTGGTCTCCGGTCGACGCACTGGGCGTGTGGACACACTGAACACCCGGCCACCTTGGAGGGCCTCAGATCCATACCGGCCATCACGACATCTGTGCGGTGAAAACCTTTGAAGCAGCAGTGTTCATGTCAGGCTGATGATCTATGGAGGAAGTCCGGGAGGCCCCCAGAACATCCAGTGGTGACCTAAGATCACATGGTGAAGCCGGGATCCACTGGGAAGTGTCGCACAGTCGCTGCGTCGCGCGTTTCTATGTACGATGACATCGGAAATTGAGATTCCAAAAATCAGACATGGGCTTTTGGTGTGGACACCAACCTAAATGATCCCCCTAAATGGCTTGCAAAGGACACTCGTCTAGCTGGATCTTCCGAGCAGAATTTCTGCCCTCCATATGATCAGCATCCACATACTGTATATGTTCAGCAGTGTTCAGCATCCACGTTGATCTTTTAAAAAGATACCCAAACACTCCATATGTGTTAAATATATGGGCTACATTGACCCCCAAAAAATAACCAAATGTAGGCAAATATATCGCATACATGAAGTGTCTGGGAATGTCTGGGATATATTTTACTGTATGCAATTCCCTCCCCCCATTAAACACTCGTTTTCTCCACCACTCAGTGGTTTTCGGGTCGATGTTCGTCTGCAAAATGAGACTGGACAATGCTTCAAAAGCTCAAGGCTCGAACTCCAAAATAGGTAACCCTCGCTGCAGCCCATTTCCTTGACCTGCTGGCCATTCAGAGTACTATTTCAGGTTGAGTGAATCATGTAATCAATACCACTCTTCCGCACCGATTCCTCTATATAGCTTCCCTGCTCAGATTCCATTCCCGCGCCCGGCGGAGACCGCCTCTCCGCCTCTCCCTGCGACGGTCCACACGGCGGCGGCGACCGCACGCGCCTCTCTCTGCCCAAATGACAGGTGAGCAACAAGTAGGCGCCCGGATGTCGTTGAGAGTTCACCTGCTCCACTCGCGGTGCGCGAACACTCTCCACTCGTCGGTGTTGAGCGGTCATGTCGGCGACGAGTCAGGGCCTGTCCAGGTATCCCATAATTTCCACTTGTGCCCCTTCTGGATGCTTGTCATCCAATTATATTGAAATGATCAACACCCTTTGAATTTCTGAACCCTCTTCCTTGCCTGGTCTGACCACTCCTTCCTCCCCTTCGTTTAGCCCTGGATTCCCCGGAACAGCCGCCTGTCGCAAGGCCTCCTGCAGTGTGATCTGCAGCTGTTGCAGGTTCCCCGCCAGACGCTTCAGGCGCTCGCCCGACGCTTCTCCGGCCCTTGCGGCCCCAGGAGCGCCCGCAGCGGCACCCGCAGGGGCGCGGAAGCGCGAAGGCACGCTGGGGAGATCGGTGGCCGGTGGGAGGCCATAGAGACCAAAGTAGAAGGCTTGGAGCATGGCTTCTCGATCCATAAAGGGAACCTGAGAAGGCGGGCTGGGGCGAGAGCGAGTACATGGGAGCGAGTTCGTTAGGAGCGATTCCTGGAATTGATGATCTAGGAATCTAGTAGGTTGGATGCTATTGAGTAGTCACAGCAAATGTTTAGAGTCAAACTCTCTTGGACCATGTACCACTGTACCACATGCTGAAGCGCCCGTCCGTCTTTCCTTCCCAAGGTATCAACTCAGAATCACAACAGTTCAAAGCCCCCGGGGTCAAATCACATGTGCAAAAATTGCAATAACGTGTATTCTAACATAGTTGAAGTCTCAAAGGGCTTTGAGGCACGAATAGCCAACCTGAGCAGTGGTCAAAGGGATGAACAACTAGTTGTACAATGAATCTCTTGCCAGGAGTTGGCAGCATCTCACCTTTTCCAGCACTTTTTCACTGGGAGCAGCTCTACTGCTCACATAGTTCGCCGCAATCGCCCATTCACTGGGTGTGCAGCGCTGTTGGATTCGCGGGGTCAATCATCTATCATCAATCTTCTTATTTGTGTGATCCTCCAAAAGGTCGTGATGGGCCTTTGGGAAAAAATTGGCCTTTCAATCCTTTACCTCAAACCAATCCCAACATATCCAAAACTTGCATCTCCATTCAGCCCATGTCAGCCCATTTCCCAGTCTGCATGCTTTGAAAAAACACAATCAACCTCAGAACTGGGATCCCAACGTTTTTTCAAGTGCTCCGAACGAACTCCAAAATCCCGATCCCCCCGCAAAACAAAAGATGAAGGTGCAAGTGATTCACCCACAAACACCCGGCCAGTGGGGGGACTAATTTACTTAGTCATCTCCCCACCTCCAGGTCCATTTTCCCAAGCTGAAAAAGCAAGCCGGCCCGGACGCCGCTGAGGGTCGCACTTGGGCATCCAGCGCCGAGTCTAGAAGCTCGGCCCAGCCCAAGGCCCGCTCCTGGTGGTTTCAACGACCCGTGCAGGATGAATAATCCCCACAAAAAATGACATTTACTTCGAGTGATCCCCACCATGACATTTCAAAACAGCCACGTTGACATCACCCTCGTTGTGTATTTCAGCCCATAGCACAAGTCCTTCAGCGCCATACTGTTTTGTCCGAAGCGAATGCTTTCATCAGGAGACCTGTGCCCAACTAATGATACAACCCAGATCCTCCGGTTGTGCGTTGTGGTTGTGTGCTGTGATTGTGTTGTGATTCTGTGTTGTGGTTGTGTGTTTGTGGTTGCGTTTGTGATTGTGTTTGTGGTTGTGCTTGTGGTTGCGTCTTTGTCGTTGTGGCTGTGGTTGTGTTTGTGGTTGTGTGCTTGTCATTGCGTGTTTGTGATTGTGGCTGTAGTTGTGTTTGTGGTTGGGTGTCTGTGATGGTGTGTGTGGTTGTGTGTTTGCGGTTGTGTTTGTGGTTGTGTGTTTGTGGTTGTGTGTTTGTGATTGTGTGTTTGTGTTGTGTGTTTGTGGTTGTGTGTCTGTGGTTGTGTTTTTGTGGTTGTGTTTTTGTGGTTGTGTGTTTGTGGTTGTGTCTTTGTGGTTGTGTGCTTGTGGTTGTGTGTTTGTGGTTGTGTGTTTGTGGTTGTGTGTTTGCGGTTGTGTGTTTGCGGTTGTGTGTTTGCGGTTGTGTGTTTGTGGTTGTGTGTTTGTGGTTGTGTTTGTTGGTGTGTGTTTGTGAATGTGTTGGTGGTTGTGTGTTTGTGGTTGCGTGTTTGTGATTGTGTTTGTAGTGTGTCTGTGATTGTGTTTGTGGTTGCGTGTTTGTGGTTGTGTGTTTGTGGTTGTGTTTGTGGTTATGTGTTTGTGGTTGTGTTTTTGGCTATATGTTTGTGATTGTGTCTGTGGCTGTGTGCTGTGGTTGAGGTCCGGCAGGGAACACTTGGGCCTGGAGCTCGCAGTTGAGGTCCGGCAGAGAACCCTGGGCGCGGCGATGGTCGTGGTTGAGGTCCGGCAGGGAACACTGGGCGTGGATGGTCGTGGTTGAGGTCCGGCAGGGAACACTGGGCGTAGATGGTCGTGGTTGAGGTCCGACAGGGAACACTGGACGCCGAGGGTCGTGGTTGAGGTCCGGCAGGGAACACTGGGCGCCGATGGTCGTGGTTGAGGTCCGGCAGGGAACACTGGGCGTGAATGGTCGTGGTTGAGGTCCGGCAGGGAACACTGGACGTGGATGGTCGTGGTTGAGGTCCGGCAGGGAACACTGGACGTGGTTGGTCGTGGTTGAGGTCCAGCGGAGGAGGACGAGGAGGAGGAGAGGGAGAAGGAGGAGGAGGCGGAGGAGGAGATGGGGCTGACACAAAATCTAACAACCCTCACCACCCACAACGATGGGGTCCAACTCTTATAGGAAAAAGCATGGAACCCCAATATCGAGAGTCAAGCTATAGCTATATACTTTCTATATATCTTTCTATGGTGTACACCGCCAGAAATCCAAAACCTCTGAGAATCCCCCCCGACCCCGGGTGGCCGGAATTGAAAGGCGCCGCTGCCGCCTCCCTCGACCCAGTACGAGGCGTTCGCTTCCCTTGGGACTCGAGAACTCGAAAAAGGCACCCATCTCCAATTCCTGGGGTTTGCGTGTGAATTACGGGGTGCCGGGTGCCCACCAACTCCATGAATTTTGGGCCTTTGAATTTTCCCAGGGGTCTAGACAATTAGATCGGGCCGCCGGTTCCACCACCCGCGTCCGCTCCACCGCTGCCGTGCCTCACCGCGGCGACTGCCCTCGTGGAGGCGCCGGAAGATCTCCTCCAAGCCCGCCGTGTAGGAGCGCATACCGCGCTCCGCGCCGTTCTGCACGCCTGTCCGCGCCGTGCAGAACGTGTGGTCAGAAGTGAGTGCCCACAACCGCCAAATCACGGCTGTGGAGAAGGGTGTTTTTTTTGTCTGAGTTGATTTGTTTTTGTTGGTTGGGTGAATTTGTTGGTTGAGAAGAGTGCTTTGCTTGGGGGGTGGTCGAGAGAACAAAAGCCAATATCGAAATCTTCGATGTGCTGGAGACATGTCCTCTTCTGAAGATCCTCAGAGATTTCAGACTCATCATCAGCATCAAAAACTCAGAAATGTGCTATAGTATCTATAGTTTGGCAACTCGCATACTCTGCTCGCAGGTCCGCTATAGCCAAGTTGGTATCTGGACCATCCTGGCAAGAGTGGCTATATATACCTAGATCGAGCTACAGCTTGACTTTTGGAGTCAGAGACAGACCTGGACTCTACCTAAAGATGGTGTCCTGTCATGGGAGATCCTGTCTTGGTAGTGGGCTGGGTAGTCCAGCCAGCACATGTCCAGGATGGTCGTGGTAAGCTTATTTCTGCGTTCGGTCGACCGCTCCTTAAGATTCAAATTCAGACCTGGACCGACGCCTGCGCAAACAGGCCAAGTCCAGTCTACCCCCACAAAAGGGACCCTAATAGTTGCTCACGACTGTGGGGTAGGGGTGTCATAGGGTTCCCACATGACACCCCCACTTCACCCCCATTGCTTTTGGACATGCTTAATACATTCAACACTTCAGTGTTCACAGCGCAGGGCCACCGACCACCTCGGCTCTTCTCTTTGCCCTTCGCCATTCGCGTGGAGGACTCTCGGCGCGTGATACGGCGATGGTGTGCACGAAGAAAAGAACGCGAGACACCTCTGTTTACGTAAAGGCTGTCAGGGGCGGAAGCGGTGCCGTCTGTTTGGTGTTGCTTCATTCTTTGTGGCGATCTTGACGGATCACTCGGAGGATTCCTTTGGAGGTGGCACTAGAGATAAGTAAAAACCCATAAAAACCCTTTAAGAGATCAGTTCCCAGAACCGTTCCTGGATTCCTAGAGCAGTAATTTGTCCGGAGAGTTCTCCTGCTCGAGTTCTCCTGCTTTATGCTACTTCTCCTGTGTGCTCTACGAGTAGCGCCTGTGAGTCTTCCCTGATAAGTTATCTTCCTTTGGTCCTTTCTCGTGTTCCATCATTCCATTTGAACGTAAGCTCGGAATTGACTAGTTGATGAACTTAATGCTGAACATTTAATGAGCATGCAGCATGCAGCATCATGTTGATGGTTCGAGCTGTAGTGGCTGGTGGTTGCACAGTGGGGCAGCTAAATGAGAAAACAAGAATGCTCAAACAAACATCTTTCTGTAAGCTTTCCGAGCATCCAAACCTATTTCTATGGCAGGTGCGTGCCTGAGCCCATACAGAAAATACAGTCAAGGTTTGAGACACGAGAGCGTCTCAAAAGGGTAAGGGGGCAAACTCTGGATCCTTGAACCTCTTCCAACATACATTAAGATGTTCAGAACGCTGATCATTGATCGTACACGAACAAATTATATATATATGATATATATATATATAGGCAGTATAATTATTATATAAGCTATTTTATAAGTATAGTATAGTGTTGTCCTTTTGCCCATCCCTCGCAGCTAGCTTCAAAACCCTCAGCGGCGCGGCGTTCTCTGCTGTTCGAACAAATTCATCCCGGAGCCGCTGGCGCCGCGAGGCCGCGTTGTTCCACGAGGGCGTCCGGTCATAACTGGAGAAGAACATCAGGCAGTCTGAAAGGTTTTTGGAATGAGCCACTGTATAGCAATTTGCTGACTTTAAATTAGACTTATCCTTTTGACTAGCAAACAGGCGTCGTGGTTGGACCTGTTTCCAGGTTGAAAGGTGCAACGCCCTGGCCACCTGAACCCTTTCACCACCGTGTTCATTGGTCCATATGATGAACCAGTGAATCCCATGTTCGGCCCTGGCTCACCAGCGATCTGCTATCTGTGTTGCGCATTGTTCACCCATGTTCCAAAGCAATCTTCCCTCAACAATGGCAAGGGCATTCAACCCCTAGAGTGAGATTGTTAGGACATTTCAGGGATCAATTTGTTTTTATCTGATCTTTCGTACAAAGAACCATGAATTGCTGGCCACACAGAAAGTGGATCCATCTAATGCACTAGCCTATCTGCTGGGGTCTTGGGAGTATGCTCATGTACTAAAAGGAGTGGTGTTTTCGATCAAAAACTGCCACTGCCAGTCACGCCAAGGGCCTTAGAGAACCGCCGATCGGCAACTGTTTGATTCGATGTTCAACATGGTTCCAAGTTCTATAATATCTCTCTCTATTTATATAATATATATATACTGAAACAACAATCCTGGTGGATCTTGGATTTGCTTGGGACCTCAACATAAAAAAAGAAAACAAACAATTGTTTTTCCTGACAAAACGTTTATTGGGAAAATAGACATGACACGATCCGCAAATCCAAGGGTGGCGCCTTCCCGGTCTCATCCCATGCCGAGAAACTGAACTCTGACAAAGCGAAGCCCTTCAATCACGACAAATCATGCACATCCACCATCGTAACCCAAACACTCCATGGGACTGGTATTAATGCCTACATTTGACCCTTGAAACCACACCAACGGAGGCAATTTGTATGGCATTCAGATGGAGGGTCTCAGCACCAAAAAGACCATCGATTCATCAAAACAAGTTGTGCTGGTTGACTGGCTAGGCTTGCCCTGAGTCGTGGAGAGGCTAGACCTGCACCTGTGTCCGATAAAGCACAAAGGACGCTCCTGAAACTCTCCTCGATGATTTGTGTGGTGCGGCCTGCCTGGCACGGATTGATGGGGGAATGAGGGTCGGAGTGACAGCATGGGGTGCAGTCATAACAGGGGTTTATAGAAAACAGTCATAACACATGTGAAGTGCATACAGTCTGTGCTGTATATACCCATAGATAGATAGATAGATAGATAGATAGATAGATAGATAGATAGATACACAAAGCACACATGTGTTGGGGAAACACGTGTTTTTGTGATGTAAACATCTTGGGTTACTGCGATGTGACATAAAAGCGTGTGTGTATGTATATATATTACAATAAACAATTACATACGTATAATACATCGATCTGCATGAAAACAATCAAACCGGTTTCCCAAAGTTCCTCTTCAAGAGCGTGAATTCCTCCCACCTGTGCCAATCTGGTGGTTAGAAACCCAGTGAATTCTCCCTTTGAGGCGGTTCGGATCGCAAAGCTGCTGGCGTCATTGGGCTTCTAGGAGGAATAAGTCCCGGTTCACGCGACATGGCTCAACCCTAGCAAAATTCCAACCCATGTCATGTCCTTCGGATTTTCGGATGGCCGAAACCCATGCCTTCCCTTTTGCTCGGCACTTCAGCGCGCCACTTCAGCGCTTCCGTCCACGACGGTCGGAGATGGTCGGAGACGAATGCGGCCGTCCGCTCAGTTCGGAGACCCAGACACGACCCACTCCATGGGACGGACTGCCGAGAAACGGCCAGGGTTGGTGCCAGGGGGCAATGTAGCCGATTCCATGGAGTGTCTGAGCTACAGTCCTTTACACAGGCAGGGTTTGCAGCATGGCGGCTAGCTGCCTTGATGACACAAGCTGACTCTCCTCCGAAAGCTTCCAAATCACCCAGTGCCTGCACTTGTACCTTTGGGAGGTCTGGGCCACTGCAAACTAAACAATGATCAACCATGTAGAGGCGGTATGAGGCGGTCATTGTTACCAAGGTTAGTTGACAGTAAATGACCGTGGATGCATTGTTATTGTTGCCCAACGCAGGTGATGAGTCATGCGGAAGGCTGCATTCTTGCTAGTGGCGCTGACGCTGGTTCCGGTGGTACCATCAGTCGACCTCTTCTCTGGTATCGCTTGTCAGATCTGGGATGGGCCAGAATGGTGACAGTTTCTTCTCTCTCTATCCGTTCCGGGTGCCTTTTTTCCTAACGGTTCCTTTTAAACGCTTATATAGGGTGGGGTGGAGGCTCTGTCTTTTCGCGTCGTTCCTTTTCTTGTTTTTCGTTTGTTCTATGCTTTACGCCTGATTCCTCCTGTTCCTCTTCCCTCCTCTTCCTTATCAGTCCTTCCTCTTCTTCCTCTTTCTGTTCCTCCTCTTGTGGGAGGCTGGATGGGATTTATTTTATGCAGGTTGATATATATTGTTTTATCTTTTAATGCTGACAGTATTTGTTTTTCCGTTCTTTTATGTGGGGGGGTTGTTTAACATAAGCCCATTGCATTAAAGAAACACATGCATAAACGAGCACCTCCTGCAAAAACAAACAAACATAAAAAGGGCGACCCTTTCCAGAGTGTGGTTTTAAACATGAGAGTCATACGAGCCATCCTCAAAACCGCAAAAAAAAAAACAAACAACACCTGTTTTGAACCATGCCATCCTCCCCACCCCCTCCACTTTTGCTTCCCTGCTTGAAAACGAGGTCCTGTCCTCCCTGCCTGTACTAAAGACTTCGGCTCCGCAGAAGGAGCAGTGGCAAGCCTAGCACGTGACTGCCGAAGGAGAACTACTGCGTTCGCCAACCTACACACTTCTTAGAGGTCATGAAATAGATTGAAACGAAACCAGTCCGTGTGTGTTCTAGGGGCTTCACTGCTCAACTTAGTTGATTTTGGACAACAGTTCAATAGGCGATTTACAATCGCTCCAAACGAAGGACAGAGTAAAATTGCTTGAGCTGCGCAGGAGGCGCTAACTGGGTCACACTAAAAGATTGGCCTCATTTCTAGCTATGCGTCTACGTACTAGAAGCGATATTGATGTCCTGCGCAACAAGGCAGTTGCACAAACATAAAATTGCTTAAGCATAATAAACTTGTCCACCCAAAGAAATATTATGTAGCCTACATGGGGGTGGTTGAAATATGTTGAAATGGGGTCAATGGGGCGGCATAATCATATATATGTATCTGTGTATAATTATAGAATATGTATATATTACAAGGAGTGCTTGGGCTCCGTTTGCTGCAACTTTGATGTGCGGGACGTACCCATGGCATCCCCCACAGAAAAACGCGATCTGAGTGACCTACCTAGGGTGCGATACTTGCCATCTCCACAATGGCACGCTGTGTAGCACGAAACCTGCCAATGAACCTGTAATTTTCATGGGAAGTGTGCATATGGACTGTGGCAGGCGGTTTGCCCTTACAGGCCCTAATTGCATGGCGCACGCCCTGGCCAGGCAAAGTTGCACATAGTGGAACGGTTGCTGCTGAGCACACCTGTGTGGGAGATCTGTTTCTCCATGCGCTCTTTCCGGGCTGTGTTGTCTGACAACCTTTGGACAAGCATCGTGTCATTGTGAAGGGTGCAAATGCCACACTTGGTGCAAATGCCACTGTGTCCATCTGTGCAGTCGACCAGAAAATCCTTCTTCCCAAACCTGCTGCAGGCCTGAGTTTTACAGGACAAGCGGTCACAGTAAGGAGCTCTGCAGTTCGATCTTGGCATCAAATGTCGGACTGCTTAGGGAATGAGATGGAATGACGGAACGTTACGTTGGTCGCCAACGGAGACTTTGGATCCATTTCTACTGAGCACCAGTCGGACGTCCAACCTTTGTTTGGGAGGTCATCCAGCTGCTGATCCTCCTGGCCTATGGTCACAGGCTTTCCTGCATATTCCTGCATTATTGGGCTCTGTGGATCGTTGTTTTGTAACAGTAACATTGTATGGTCAATATATATATATATATATACATATTATATATATTATACGATTTATATATAGAAAGGTCAAAAGGTTGAAGATTATCGACTGACCGAGCAAG